ACTATAATTCGGGGGGGGGGCATCTTCTACAGCTATTGGGTAAAGTGGGAATTTCCAAAAGATTGGCCATAGTCTCAGCATTTTAGTAAAAGAAAAAACAAAAGCAAAGGCTTTAGAACCTTCACATACATAGACGACTCAGAGACCCCCTCTTTATACATTTTGACAAAATAAGAGAGAGAGAGAGAGAAATAAGTACAGTGTGTTTGTATGACTTTTAGCAACTAATGGTTTTAGTTCAGTGTGGATTTGATTCCACTTCCTCACTAGGCTCCCCCTGGCATTCTTCACCAAGCACGATGGAAGCCCCCGTGTGCCTGATAGAGAACAATCCCAATGAGAAGCTACAAGTCAACCTGGAAGCCCTGGAGATCCTTCAGAACATCCAGCAGCCCGTGGTGGTGGTGGCCATTGTGGGACTATACCGGACCGGCAAGTCTTACCTTATGAACAAGCTGGCAGGAAAAGACCAAGGAGGTAAATCGTGTTGTGTGTGTTTCTGAGGAGATGTGGAAGGAGCTAATTCTTTGAACCACACTTGATCTATTGTTTCCCCTCCTGCTCAGATCTTGTTGGGTTGAAACAAGGGCTTTTTTGGAAAGTGCATCAGGCTTACTTTTGGTTTTAGACACCTGCCCGCTCTTAAGGCAGGAGCAGAGGCCCTGAATGTGGTCCAAAATATGATCTGGCAGAAACAGCCTTATGTTTGGGTTTCTTCTGACACCTTTCCTCTTATTTCTCCTTCTCCTCCTGTCTCAAAAAGTGCACCTGAAGCATATCCAGATGCTCCTGCCACTGGCACACACTACCCTGCAGTTCTCACCATGACCATGCTCTGCATCGAGTCTGCGGCTGAGTGATTGGGCATCTTGACATACCTGAATGAGGCATGGGCTAGTAGGTCCCTGGACGATATGCCTTCCCCTAGAGAATCCTTCTGAGAAACCCTCCCTGACACCCTCATTTTCAGTGCAAAAAAAGTTGAATTGTAATTCCTAGAATCTTTCCTTTAATCTTGCTTTTTTTCACATCTTTTATCTATCTTTTAAATAGGCTATAGGCTATATGCACACACACACACACAGACACACACACTCGTTAGCAGGCCAAAACGCCTTTTTTTAAAAACTGGAAGTAGATTTCCCGTCACTTCCATCTTTTGCAATTTTGGACACTCCTTGTGGCCCCTGAAGACACCCTGAACCGTCAGAGTGAGCGACGTCCGATATAGCTTCCTCTTTTAAGCAACGCGCAAAAGTTTTGACCTCATTTTAGGAGTCAGAAGGATTACCACATAGAGAGTGGGAAGTGAATCCTTTCGTAAACATCCTGAAGCTGATCCTGTATACTTGAACTTTGAACTTATCTTCTGTGTTGCCTAAAAAGGCTTCTCTCTAGGTGCTACAATTCAAGCAAACACCATGGGCATCTGGATGTGGTGCCTTCCTCACCCCATAATGCCTGACCATACCTTGGTACTGTTGGATACAGAAGGGCTGGGAGATGTGGAGAAGGTAAGCTGTCGAGGCAGGTGGCCAATACCAAGAAGAGTAGAGTCCCTCACGCCTTTAGTTTCAGGTGGAACCAGATTTATTTGGGGGGCTCCTAAATCTTTGGGGCGTGCCAGGAGGCTTTTGCGAGCCACATCTTGATGAGACAGCAGGAACAAAGAACAGGGATGTGAATCTTACAAACTTTTGAGCCCAGAGCAGAGCTGATGGGAAAAAAAAAAAGAATACTTGGTTCCCCACAATGAGATTTCTCTGAGATTTTTTGTTTCCTGAAATATTTTATGGGAAATGTTGCTAGATTTCTAAGACTTTTGTGCCCTCTTTCTTTTCTTATGAAGGGCAGGACAAATGCCAAGCTCTGCAGAATTAGTACAATTCATATATATGACACATCAGGATATGAATGGAACATGCTGGAACATTTTTTATATATAAAACCGTGAAGCTGTGGAGAATTTGTCTCCAGTAACTTTTAGAAAAAAATGTTCCCGCATGTTCCATTCATATCCTGATGTGTTGAATTACCACAGTTAGTTTTCACTGAGTTTCTGAGAATATTCTAAGAGTCTTTAAGCCGAATATTGTAACATTACGTGCTGAGAATGAGAAATTTTATGAATATTTATGACACCCGTAACTGACAGCCTAGCTACACTGTGTAGAATTCACATTTAGCTACAACGCATAGGCTGAGGCCTAGCAACAGCATGCAAGCTTAGCTACATCACACGGGTTCCAGTGGCTCAGTATACTAGAGCTGTGTGTTAATTACCTGCGTCTCTCTCTCTCTCTCTCTCCAGAGCAACACTCAGAATGACGCATGGATATTTGCCTTGTCCATTCTACTCAGCAGTACCTTCGTCTATAATAGCGTGGGCACCATCAATCAATACGCTTTGGAGAAACTCCAGTATCCTTATGTGCCAGCTGAAGCATCCAGTTGTTGGCAAATTGTAACCTTGTATTCTTCTCCTTTCACACACTGGGTGTCACTGGGTGTCACGCTCTGTAGCTGCTGGTAACTCAGAACATGGTTCCATTTCTAAGAGAACCAGTGTTTGAATTGAGCTTAGCTTCATTAGAGTCAATGTTTTAAAAGGTGACACACACATGATCCTGTTTTCCCCCACCACTACTGTGTGTTTTTCTGTTCAGGAATGTGTTATTTTAACTCCTCCACCAATGGAGGTGTTATATCGCTGTCTTATCAATCAATTTGCCCAATGTGCACTCCTCCGTCAGGCTTAATTGCTCTTAATTTCTATGCTGGTTATATAGGAATACAGGACTGGTACGCTATGCTGTAGCATTCTCTGCTGCCTGCTCAGTAGCTGGGTGGATGTGCTTGCCTGTGCACAGCTGCTCTCTAAGGTCTCTCTGCTACTGCTGTCAGGAAATCTCTCTCTCTCTCTCTCTCTCACACACACACACACACACACACACACACATAGAGAGAGAGAGAGAGAGAGAGAGAATAGAGAATAGAGAATAGAGACAGAGAGGGAGCCTGGGCTGGTAGAGGTTCAGTGATGTTGCGGGGGGGATTGAGGAGAGAGAAAACTCAGCACTATTTTATTCTCCTCGTTGTCCTCCCACACCACTTCTTCCTCACCATCCTTTCCAAGGAATGCCACTGGCCTGTGTGACTCTTGAGTATGTGAAGACCACAGTCTGGTCCATTTACAGTGTGATAGCAAAAAAGAAAAAAAGGAAAGGAAAATATGATTTTCAAATGAATGATGATAATAATATCAGAAGCATCCGTATTGGTCTTGGTGATAGAGCGCTCTTAGTTTTATTTTTTATTTTGGGTAAATGTTGAATGTTGTACAGTATTTTACTGTTTTATTTATTATGTATTTGAAAAATTAAGAAAAATTAAAAGAAAAAGATCTCCTTCTCTCATGCACAGAGGAAATACCTTGTCTCTTATGCTGCTTGAGATGTCACATCACCAAAAAAAACAAGTGAAATGGACTCTTTGTTTTTTCCACAATTGCATTTATTCATAAGCAATGTTTCTTTAAGTAAGCGAGAGTTGTTCTAAGGGTTTTAGCGAGGGTGATGATGAGACCCAGAGGCAGAATATTTAAATGGGATGTTCCTGAAAAATGAAGGGCACTTGCGAGATTCTTGCCCCGGTCTCAGTTTCCTTAACGTAATCCCAGGTATGTGACGGAGCTGACCAAGCACATCAAAGTGAAAGCTTCACCCAAGAAAACCTCTGAAGAGGATGAGAGTGACTTCCTCAGGTTCTTCCCAGTTTTCATCTGGGCTGTGCGTGATTTTTCACTACAGCTCAAGCTGAACGGACGCCGTATAACTGAGGACGAATACCTGGAGAATGCCTTGAAGAGGAAACCAGGTAGCTTTGAATGGGGAAAGTTGGACACCACTTCCAGTGGTTGCAGCCACTTGGCATTGCCTTGCCTTTCTCCAGTGTAGAATATCTTTCACTTAATCTTCTCCCTTTCAGGATTGGCTCTTGGGCTTCAGTTTCCCCCCTTGGCCAAAGACCTTCACTCTTTGTTATATTAGGGTTGATGCTGCAACCGGCATTCTTCAAACAGATTGAACTCTCAGCATCATTATTTATTATGTTTCCCCAGCTGATTAACTTTACAGTGGTGTCCTGCTAGACGATGACCTCGTAAAACGACGAATCCGCACGACGATGATATTTTTTGATCGCTATAGCAATTCACAAAATAGTGATTCCAATGGCCGATTTTCGCTTGACTATTTGGTCCATGCTTCGCGGACCGTTTTTCGCAAGCCGACGATTTTTACAGCTGATCGGCGGCTTCGCAAAATGGCTTCCTATGTTTTCGGGACAGCTATTCTTACAGCTGATAAGCGCTCACAAAATGGCTTCCCTATAGGTGATCTTTGCAGGACGACAATGTATTTTCCCCATTGGAACGTATTAAACGGGTTTCAATGTATTCTAATGGGGAAACGGTTTTTGAATGACGATGATTTTGCTAAACAGCGATTTTCACGGAACGAATTATCATTGTCATGCAGGGCACCACTGTATTCTGCATCTTTCAGGATGACGTAGGAATTCAAATACAACTTACATCTGGGGTGGGGAAAGGATGGTATTGAACATCCCTGTAAACCTTGTCAGCTTGACCTTGTCTGTGATTCTCTCCCCTAGAGAGCCCTGAGACTCTTGACCTTGCCAAGAAATGCATTCGGCAATATTTCCCCAGCCGCAAGTGCTTCGTCTTTGACCGCCCGGCTGGAACGCGAGACTTAGAGGACCTGGAGGACCTGCCTGAATCAAAACTGTGCCCTGACTTCTTGGAGCAGGCGGACAAGTTCTGCAAATACATTCACAACAATGCCCAGCCAAAAATGATCCAAGGAGGCCACAGAGTGACTGGGAAATGTGAGTGGAAGCAACAGGTTGGGTTGATTGGCTCGTGAAAAGTCCTGAAAGGAGGACTGGAGGATGGGCTTCTCCAAGATACTATGGCAAGATTTGTAATGAAGGCAGTACAACTCCACCTTGCCTGGGCGGGGTGTGGGGGAGGGAATAACCATCTGCAGGGATATGCTTTTTCTTTCTCATTCATCATCACTAAATTGACAATGTTGACACATCGGCTTCTACATTCGCACAATTTCCTCCTATTTAAGCTAGTTTACTTCTCTGTGCCCAGATTTGCCAGAATTTATACCAGCAGCCTTGGCTTCCCCTATTCTGAAATCCAATATCAGGCTTAGAGCTTGAATCCAAGACTGAATGAACTAAACAGCTGGCCTTAAGGAAGTTTCATTTCCTTAGTTCTAGACTCTCCACCCTGGCAATCTGTAATATGGAGATGATTACCCTTGTTGGACTTCAGGTCAGGCCAAGACGTTTCCTGAGGTGGGACAGTACTGGGCATCAAGCAAGGCACTGTCCTACCAAGGCACATATGATTTAAAGCTACCACAGTTAATTTGGCACAAGACACATAAAGCTCCACTCAACAGTAAACAGATGTGATAACAAATTAATTAACAATTTGCTGTCCTTCTTATCAACTCTAAAATCCGCTGCTTCATTCCAGCTGATGAGCAGATTGACCATGTCTCTGTTTAATGGAGTTGTTGTAAAGAAAACACACATCACTGCAGGCCATTTTTTTACCTTATTCAAAATATCTCTGAACTAGTAAAAATCACTGTAAATTCAATTGTTAGCATATGAGATTAGGCAAATAAGATAAAAAGGTAAAGGTAAAGGTTCCCCTTGACAATTTTTGTCCAGTCGTGTCCGACTCTAGGGGGCGGCGCTCATCCCGCTCTTCAAGCCATAGAGCCAGCGTTTGTCTGAAGACAATCTTTCCGTGGTCACATGGCCAGTGTGATTTAGACACGGAACGCTGTTTACCTTCCCACCGAGATGGTACCTATTTATCTACTCACATTTGCATGCTTTCGAACCGCTAGGTTGGCGGGAGCTGGGATAAGCGACGGGAGCTCACTCCGTCGCGTGGATTCGATCTTACGACTGCTTGGTCTTCTGACCCTGCAGCACAGGCTTCTGCGGTTTAGCCCACAGCGCCACCACGTCCAGAGGCAAATAAGATACTGACCTCTTATTTTAGTAACTGATGCTTATAGTAATAAATATTGATACAGTGGCTCGGGCATTCGAGGAAGCACAACGGAAGCATGTTCTAAAAGAACAGTTCCTCAACCTTTTGGCATCCTGTCCCCCTTTCGATTTATGAGGAATTCTTAAGGTTTCCCTTTTTACCACCTTAAGAAAAATCACTAGTTTGAAATTTAAAAGTAAAAACAATATTTCCAATTATAATTGAGAACAAGGATTTTTTTCCCTTTCACAAAAGCTGCCTCCACCAACTGTATATGTGTCCATAAGCTGATAAAACCATTCCTTTCTCTATGGAAGTATCGCATTCTCATGACCCCTTGACATTTCTTTGGGGCCACACCTCACGGTTAGCCAAAAATTTTTTCGAAGAGGTCAGTAGGTATTTATATGTTACAACACATTTTACTTTACCCCGCAGCCATTATTCAATCTGAGACCCTCAATGAGAAGGGAGGCTAGAAAGTAGATAAGTAAAAGTGGATGAAACATGATTTTTCTGCTTGCCATCCTCCCTCTTTGCAGCTTTGGGACACCTAGTACAGACCTACGTGGACGCCATTGCTAGCGGGACCGTCCCCTGCATAGAGAACGCCGTGACCGTCTTGGCCCAGATTGAGAACACAGCTGCGGTTCAGGACGCCATTATGTGCTATGAAGCTGCCATAAAGCAACGTGTGCAGCTGCCCACGGAGACGGTCAATGAGGTGCTGGAGGCCCACGGCCACTGCGAGAAGGAAGCCCTCAAATTGTTCATGGCCCGCGCCTTCAAGGATGACAACCACGAGTACCAAAAAAACCTGGCGGTACAGAGATTAATTAATTGGTGGGAATGAGACTGAAGGCCAAACTGTTCATTATGGATAGCCCATGATTAGAGCCCATGATTAGAGCCCATGATTAGAGCCCATGGATAGCCCATGATCCAGAGTGTATCTGATTTGGGTATATCTGGAAATCAGTCTTCCTGACGAAGCCTGGTGTACTAGGTCCAAAAGAACACCACAGAGTGAAGCAAGAAATTTTCATAATTTCGTGAGGTGAGAAAACCTCCTGCTTTGAAAGCTTACAAAAGCTTTCAGTTTGTAAGGAAATATCTCCTCCATTCATGAATTATCCATAATGTGAAGTCTGGCTCATAGAGTGAAGCAAATGTGAATTCCTATTTGGATGGTTGTGTTGATAGCAAGTTGGATCATTGAAAATAGAGGCTTCTTTGTACGGAACAGTAGGCTGATTCTTGGGTTAATTTAGGGGGTGACTGACATATCAAAGACATATGTAGCAGGGATACACTAACTTTTGACTGGATTGGGTTGGAATGGATTGATTTTCACTCTTCTTGCAGTGTAGCCAGAAATGCTGACAAGACAGTTTGGAGGAAACCAAGACAGTTTGGAGGAAACCAAGATGGCGGACCTCTCCTTCCATGGACAAAAACTGGTTGTTGACTCTTTTGACCCCATAGGTCATGGGAAGTCCTTTAGTGCACGAGCACACCACTTTCTCCCCCTACATGGTGCTACTGCCTGAGAGGATTTATATACCTCTTCCAAATGCTAGGCCTAATTGTGCCAGCGTAAAAAGCCCAGTCAGCTCCCTATGATAATTGTTCCTGGGAAGACTGCAGCTAAAAATCTTTGTGTTTCTCAAAGATCAGGGCTTAGAATTTTGACCAAGAGAACAACTTGTTTTATGGGTAGGTCACTTTGAAAAGGACACTAATCCAGGGCAGCAACCAAGAGGTCCATTCCCATCCCCCCAAAGCCACCAGGCTTTCCACATATTCCCTGTTCTGAACTGATAGCTGGTTAACAAAACACCACCTTGTACTTAGGATTCAATAGATTCAGGGGCTCCAGGAGGAGATTCATCGCATAAAGATGTAATTCTTGCCATGAGTATCAAAGATACCCCCAAACTCTCCTCTGGGTCTCTTAGTGTCTAGACCACTGGTTCTTAACCTTGGGTTACTCAGGAGTTTTGGACTGCAACTCCCAGAAGCCTTCACCACAAACTGTGCTGGCTGGGGTTTCTGGGAGTTGCAGTTCAAAAACATCTGAGTAACAAAGGTTAAGAACCACTGCTCTAGACACAAGCTCCTTCCTGCACTCCCTTTTGGGTATGATTATTCCAGAAGTCTGAAATGGAAATTGTCTGCTTTTCTCCCAGGTGTGTTATTGTCATGCTTGTGATGGCTGATGGTCCTGCTTGGAAGAGTGTCATTCCATTGCTTCCCTTTTCCACTGGTCCACCTGCCCTAAAACTAACCCATGAGTTTATGCTGTCAAAAGATTTTGTCTTCATTCCCCATTAGAGAATCTAAAAGGGATGTGGTGGCGCTGCGGGCTAAACCGCAGAAGCCTGTGCTGCAGGGTCAGAAGACCAAGCAGTCATAAGATCAAATCCGCGCAACGGAGTGAGCGTCCGTTGCTTATCCCAGCTCCCGCCAACCTAGTGGTTCGAAAGCATGCAAATGCAAGTAGATAAATAGGGACCACTTCGGCGGGAAGGTAACAGCGTTCTGTGTCTAAGTCGCACTGGCCATGTGACCACGGAAGATTGCCTTCCAACAAACGCTGGCTCTATGGCTTGGAAACGGGGATGAGCACCGCCCCCTAGAGTCGAACAAAATTGTCAAGGGGAACCTTTACCTTTACCTAAGAAGCCTCCAAGTTTGGGAAGTCCTGGAGCAGGGCCTACGGGACCACTGTCCACAGGGCCCATCCGTTCCATCTGAACTTGCCTCTCTGTTTTCTCTTCATTGTCACAGAACCAGATGAAATCCAAACTTCAAGAGCTGATTTCTCACAATGAGCAGGTGTCTTTAGATCGATGTCAGGCTTTGCTTATGGCCCTGTTCCGGTTTGTGGAGGAGAGGATTAGCAATGGAAGCTACTCAGTGCCGGGTGGCTACCAGATGTTCCTGGAGGAGCAGAAGGAAAAACTACAACATTATGAGCGGGCGCCTAAGAAAGGTTTAATGGTGAGTCAAGGCTTTCTGCCCTGTGAAGCCCTTTTCTCTAAGCCCAGCCCTCCTTCAGAATAGTGAACGGAGAGAAAGTTTCTTAAAGCGATGCAGTTCCATAAGGGTAGGTCCAGGAGAAGTCAAGTTGACTGGCCATACCTCAATGGGGTCTCACATCATTTTTTCACAGTCATGCTCATCATTTGGTATGCCACAAAATATTTTCTCTTTTCCTTATTCCTACCTCCACCACATTTCTCCAGGCTGCTAAGGCCCTCCAAGACTTCCTGAAATCCAGGGAAATGACAGTCCAGTCCATCCTGAAGGCGGATCAGATCCTCACAGACAAGCAGAAGGAAATTGAAGGTGAAGCCTCCGTATCTTCCCATCTGTGCTGTGTGTTTGAAACAGGGGAACTTTTAGCCTTCTTTTCTGCTGAGCCAGGAGTGTTTACTTCATATCCACATCCAAGCCATTTTACCTCAACATGCCCCAATGGTGCAGAAAGAAAAAAACAGCAATTCTGGATGATTGATGATTTTTTAACAGCCATAATGGGTCTTAGATTGGGCCTACCCAGTGTGCAAATTAGATATTTCCTGGGCTATTTATGGCAATTGCAGATGTTTTGGCTAACAGCTCACAGGATCTTTGACCAGCTGGTATGCTGGCTGGGGCTTAGAGGAGTTGTTGTCCAAATTTTTTTGGAGGATACCAGATTTCCTACTCTCAATTTAGAGCCAATGATCTACTATAAAGCCCCTTCCCTAAATTCTTCTCCCAAGCTCATCTTTTTCTTCCGGCTGACCCTCCTGAATTCCATCACTTTTGTCCAGCTCACTTCTGTACTGGAGCTAAGAAAGCAGAACAAATAGAAGCAGAAGATGAACCCCTCCAAAATTTAGGCAGAGGGTTGGCACAATTAAAACTTTGGCTGAAACAGCAACCAGCAAATTACACCATGTTGTTTCCTGCTGTGGGGAGGGGATTTAGTTCAAAAGTACTGCTCTTGGAGGTACCCAGAGCAGAAAATGAGCTTTTTGGGCAAGAATGCTTTGGGTTGGAGGGAGGCCTTCAAGACATGCCCATAAAAAAAATCCTGCATTTAGTATTTAGTCCATTCCTGGTCTAGAAGCATTCCAGTTGTAGGACCTCCAGATTCCTTATTGAAATCTGTTAGCCTCAAGTTTGAAATAATAACAAAGGCAACTGCCAATTCCATACAGTGAAACTATGGCATCATTCCTGGTCACACCCTTGCTTTTTCTGTATACATCTTGATGCATGGATGGGTAGTTTGCTCAGCGGAAGAACAATATGGCTTCTAGTACAAACAGGGGAATCTAGATGGATAATTTCCTTTGTCTAGTGGAAAAAATCCAGGCTGAAGCCTCTAAACGGGAAGCTGAGCTGCATGAGAAAATGAGAATTGAAGCTGAAGAGAGGGCTGAACAAGAAAAACAGAGTTATGAGGAGCACAAAAACCAGTTGCTGGAGAAGATGGAGGCAGACCGAAGACGGCTTCTGGCTGAGAACGAGGCCGTGCTGAGCAGGAAGCTTGAGGTAACAAGAACATCAGCTGGCAATAAAAGAAAGATACCTGGAGATTTGATCCTGAAATTACCAAGTCTATATCTCCATAATTACATCAAATGTTACAACTTCTAGTTTTTCATCTGTCTTACTTGGTCACACTGTTAAAACCTGTTAGCTCATGCGTTTTAGCTAATTTTGGGGCTCTCTACACTAGAGTAATGCCAGCTGCACTCACTGAATCTTACTGTGATAAACATTTAATCTGACCAAATAGTTAGGTATGGTTAGCACCAGAACAATGTTTGCCTTCCCTCTTTTCCCATACTGACTTTATTTATTTATTTATTTATTTATTTATTTATTTGTTTGTTTGTTTGTTTGTTGGTTGGTTGGTTGGTTGGTTGGTTGGTTAGTTAGTTAGTTAGTTAGTTAGTTAGTTAGTTAGTTAGTTAGTTAGTTAGTTAGTTAGTTAGTTAGTTAGTTAGTTAGTTAGTTTAGTTAGTTAGTTAGTTAGTTTTTATATCACTCATCTGGCTGATGGCAACTCTGGGAAGTTTATAACATATATAAACAATATGCTTAAAATACAACTGAACAGAACAGAAAACAGAAAAAAAGAAAATACAAATAAACAGTACCATTGAAACATGAAAATATATTTGCATAAAACATTCAGAACATTTAAAACATTGAGAATGGCGGACTTGCATTCTGCATTACTTGGCTGGTTGTGGAAATCTGTGCTATAGAGAGGAAAAAAGCTTAAAAATCCTTTTGAAGTATAGTTGGGTTCCTGGCTTTTTTGAGGAAGAAGAGAGGTGGGAAGGCTTATGTATACTTCCTTCAGGTTATCACAGCCCTGTGTGTGATGCCATCATCTCAAGAAACTCTGTTGGCTGAGTAAGAGTAGGGGCTTTCACTTCCTGGAGTATTTTCTAGTCCCAATGACTCACAGGATGCAATGGGGGCCCCCGGAGACATAAAGGTCTGTTCTCATCTGTCCAAATTTGTCACCTATGTCCACCCTTCACTCCCTCCTTCCCAACCAGGAGCAGAGACGGGTTCAAGAAGAAGGTTTTCACCGCGAATACTCAAGGCTTCAGGGTGAGATTCAAAACCTGCGATCTCAGATATCTGAGCAAGCGTCAAGCCCATGTGTGATACTTTGAAAACAGCATCTCTGGGAGACGGATGAATGGATCGAAAATCTGGTCCTGAATTTAGGCCTGTCCATCTGGAGCAGGGGTGATGATTGGGAATCTATGGTTGTGTCGGGGATAATAAAACTAGCTGTTAGCCTATCTTTGTGGTACATCTGTACGCATTTTTCAAAAATGTCCACCTTTTAATGTTAAATGAACAAAATTAGAAAAAAGCAAGGTAAAGAGATAAGGGACCTCTAGGTTGTCTATAGACATACATATCTTCAAGTGTACAGACAATTTATATGATTTAGATGTGGGAGCACATCAAGCTTCCAGTGTCTGCTTGGCCATGAAGACATTTCAGTCCTGGGCATTCCTACGTGTCGGGACAGAGGCGTTTTTGAAACTTTCTGCCTTTTTACACGCATAGTTCTCTGACTGTCGCTCTTGAACTGAAGCTCCAGGGTGGTGTTGTGTCTTGAGTGCTGGATTTGGGAGACCAGGTTTCGGTATTCTCTTAGTCAATGGGTGTTCTTGGGCCAGTCATTCTCTCTGAGCCTGGCCTACCTAACAGGGTTCCTGTGAGAATAAAGCAAAGAAGTGGGAGGAGCAATATATACACCATGTTGAACTCATTGGAAGAGAGGAGAAGGCATGACCAATCTTGTTTGCTATTGTGGAAGCAGAATCAGCCCTATTTATATCGCATTGTCTTACAGTCTTATAGTTAAGTTTTTGGATAATTGATAACAGTAGAATACACATCTGTTTGTACGTGCTTGTTCAATAAAAGGAATTGAAGTAGAGACTTTTTGGACATTCAGTTTATCCCTTGGGGAAAATCAAATGAAAGGACATTCAGAAGGAGAGAGAATGGTACACGGTGCAAAATATTCCTCTTGGTCTCACTGGGATCAACCCTTCTGAAATAAATGCCAGCTGTGAAAAACAGAGGCTTCTAATATTTTCCTGGAGGTCTACATAATTCTGTAGGTCTCTTAAGGGTTAGGGTTAGGTGTCAACATCTCTGATCACATTCACATGCAAGGATCCTTCCTCCCTTTAAAGGTAAAGAAAAAAGGGGGGAAATGACAACACAACCAAAAATCCCCCTCCTTGTCCCCTTTTCCTCTGGGGAAGGAAAGGAAGTTTTCAATTAAAAAATAATTGTTCTGAGCGCTCTAGAACAGTGGTTCTTAACCTTTGTTACTCAGGTATTTTTGAACTGCAACTCCCAGAAACATCTGAGTAACAAAGGTTAAGAACCAGTGCTCTAGAGCACTGGTTCTCAACCTTGGCTTACTCAGGAGTTGTGGACTGCAACTCCCAGAAGCCTTCACCACCAACTGTGCTGGCTGGGATTTCTGGGAGTTGCAGTTCAAAAACATCCGAGTAACAAAGGTTGGGGACCTAGGCTCTAGAGCTCATCATGGGGTGGTGGGAGGAAGCTTTCATGTTCCCAAAACACTGAAGCAGCTTAGGCAGGCAGCTTAAGCCAGCCCCTTTGCTTCAGTCCTCATAATCACACATGCTGGAATCAGACCAAACCAGAAAGATCCTACCTGCACTAAAAAAAACAAGCAAACAAGTCAGCAAAGAGCAGTAGTCCCCGACAGGGATCCAAAAAGGAGCAGGTTAAGAACGAATCCAGGATAAGCTGGGTAGCAATGGCCCACACGACATGAGATCTTTGGGTACAAGAATGAATAAATAACAATAGCAATTAATCATGGTTTTTGGTTAAAACTTTTATCTGTTAAATAATACCAGTCAATAAGTTTATAATTTTGATTGACTGTGCCTGGTGTTTTTGAATAATTATAATGGGATTTCCAGATCCAAATGGACAGACACTTTGAACTTAACACGCCAGACGTAGTAGTCAAAGAAGAAAGAAATGTCTGCATCATTGACATTTTAATTCCAGGGGATGCCAAAGCTGAAGATAAAGAATTGGAAAAACTAACAAAGTACAGCAACCTGGCAATCGAAACATCTCACTTCTAGAAGAAACACACTTCATTGGTCCCCGTAGTCATTGGGGCTTTGGGAACAATATCAAGAAAGTTTACACAATACTATAAAGCAGTTGCGGATCTCAGAAATCACACCACCATCAGAGCTACAAAAAAGGCAATATTAGAAACAAAATACTTGTAAAAACTGGGGGCGGGGGGTCAAAGTCATCACAGGAAGCACCAGCTTTTGAAATGCTTACTTTGGTGATGTCGGGTTGTTGCTTTGTGTTGTGAAGTCACCTTGTACCCTGTATGACTGAGGACGAGCACCTGCTGAATGCATTGAAGAGGAAACCAGGTAGTATCAAATGGGGAAAGTGAGATACCAGTGTCAATGGTTGCGGCCATTTGGCATCCCCTCGCCTACCTCCAGTGCAGAGTAACTTTCGCTTAATCGTCTCCCTTTCAGGATTGACTCCGGGGCTTCAGTTGACGCTTTTGGCCAGGTGCCTTCCTCTCTTTGTCGTGTTGGGTTTTATGCTACAGCCTTTCCAGGACAAACCAGGTCACTCAGATTCCTCCGCCCGGCTGGCCTGGCCATGCCCTTGGTTTCAACAGTGGATTCTGCTCAGAGCTGAGCTGATTTCCCAGCAGGGTATTTTTAGGGGGAGAGAAGTGAAAGGAGCTGTTGAAATTTACTGGCCATCGCCAGGCGTTGGGCTTTCTGCCAGGACAAGATTAATTTCTCCTCTCTCTTCAGCTTTGCAGGAAAAACGGTTGCTTTCGGTTTTCGCTTTCTGTGTCTCTCTCATCCAAACATCACAGAAGGGCGGAGGAAAAACTGGTCTGCTGGATGTCACCCACACAACACACCCCTTCAGAGACACCTTTTATACCTATCATCCTCCTGCATTTTGCACAAACAAGCTCCACTAGTTGCCGATCCCTTTCCAGTGCTGTTTTTAACCTATAAAGCCCCAAACAGATTGGGTCTAAGGTGTCTCTCTTTTTTAAACATTTTATTAATATTTCAATCAATCTAGGTTCTCTTGGTGCTTGTTAAACATCGTGTTGCATGGGTTACTCATAACTATTTTCTGCGTCTTGGTGTCTTCGTTATCTCTTCAAAAATCTATACACTGTTTAAATATCTAAGGTAAAAGGTAAAGGTTCCCCTTGACATTTAGTCCAGTCGTGTCCAACTCTAGCGGGCAGTGATCATCCCCGTTTCCAAGCCATAGAGCCACCGTTTTGTCCGAAGACAATCTTCTATGATAACGTGGCCAGTGCGACTTAGACACGGAACGCTGTTACCTTCCCACCGAGGTGGTCCCTATTTATCTACTTGCATTTGCATGCTTTCGAGCCACTATGTTGGCAGGAGCTGGGGCAAGTGATGGGAGCTCACTCCATTGCCTGGATTCGATCTTACGACTGCTGGTCTTCTGACCCTGCAGCACAGAGGCTTCTGTGGTTTAGCCCACAGTGCCACCACGTCCCTCTCTAAATATCTTCTAAACCATTCATCTGAACCAGCACCCTTTGAAATTTTTCTTTGGCAAGGCAGAGCTTGTTGCTCTGTGCTGTGAAGTTGCAGACAAGGATGTGGGGTGGGGAGCGTCGGCAGTAGAAGTGGAGTTGAGAAAAATGTGCTGGAGTAAGGTTTCTTCAAGGTCCAAAGAATAAAATTAGCAGCCCAGCCAAGAAGTGAGAACCGTGCAGGGGAGCGGGCCTTTCCCGGTACCACCACCGCATCGTGGACCTCTCTTACTGAGGAAGCTTGGGTGGCCCCCTCATCCCCTCCAGCCTTCAGGAGATCCTCGGAGACAATGTGCTCCGCTTGCCCAGTTTGTGAAAAGGGGCGCTAATCTGATCTGAGAAGAGAAGACTCCCTGGAAAAGATTCTGATGTTGGGAAAGTGTGGAGGCAAGAGGAGAAGGGGACGGCAGAAGACGAGATGGATGGACAGTGTCACTGAAGCCACCATCATGACTTTGACCTGACTCTGGGAGGTAGTAGAAGACAGGACGGCCTGGCGTGCTCTGGTCCATGGGGTCATGAAGAGTCAGACATGACTTAATGACGACGACAACAATCTGATCTTGGATCTTCAACCCGGTGAGCCTCCCTTGCTCTTCTCCTCTGCGAATGCTCTTTAGTTGCTAAGATTACAGTACCGTGAAGCCTTTGGCGTTAAATGCAAGCTCAGCATATTTGCTTAGAAAACGAGAAGGCACCAAATTGGGATGGTCCGGAAATCCTCTTCTCCTGTTGACTGTCTTGGTCCCAAGAGCGCATAATTTCCTCTTTCCTGGAAAAGGTGATTTCCCAGCAGCGGCTTCCCCCGCCCCTCCTCTTTTTTGGGGGACAGCTGAGAAGAAGAAGAAGATGACTTTCTCCTCTCTGCCTCGCCTTGCAGGCGATCGGGTGCTTTTGCTTTTCCTTTCGTGTTCCACATGTTTGGCTTCCGATGGGAAGGCGTTGCCATTGGCTCTTGGCGATGAGGATGCTGCGGGAGGTCCCTTTATGAAGGGGAGAAGGACGCTCCCTCTCGAGCAGATGTTGAGCAGGGCTACGGAGATACCGTTTCTCCTTCATCACAGAGAGAGCTGAATTTCCCTTCGTTTGCGTTATAAAGCCCGCACTTGGCTGAGCGGGGATTACGCGATCCGTCCGCTCTTCTCAGCATCCTCTATCAGACGGGGCTTGACGAAAACGCCCAAGAAGTTGACCAGGAGGACAAAGAAAAAAGGCCAGTTTGTGGGACCTCACCCACGCAGCTTCAAAGACATCTCGTCTGTCTGTCCATCCTCCAGCAGGTAAGCGGATTGCCCCATGGTCAGGCTGTTGAACTTGACTCCAACCCCCTATGGGGCTTAGATCTTGGAGAAGTGAATGGGAATTCACTGGCAGAGGAAGGGTTAAGTCTTTCCTTCCTTGTTTTTAATTTATTGGATAAGTCATGGAGCAAACAGTAGGGAATTGGGAAGGTAGTGCTTAAAACCGGGGCGCGGGGGGGGGGACTGGTGGGTTCAGCCCCCCAGCCACAAGAACAACTGCATTCGGATACTGGAAGTCAAGGACCAATAAACATTTTCCTAGAAAAGGAGAGTAAAAAACAGAACAAAAGGGGGGGGGGACACAAAAAAGCTACTCCTTGAGTTTGCAAGGGCTGAGCAAGGCTCTTGAGGATCAGAGAGGAGATCCCTCATGAATAGGTCGCTATAGTTCTACAACTATTGGATAACGTGAGAATTTCCAAAGGACTGGTGATAGTCTCAGCATGTTAGTAAAAGAAAAACCCAATGCAAAGGCTATAGAACCTTCACATACATATACTGCTCAGAGACACCCTCTTTATACATCTTGACAAAAGAGAGAGAGAGAGAGAGAGAGAGAGAGAGAGAAATAAGTACAGTGTTTGTAGGACTTTTAGCAACTAATGGTTTTAGTTCACTGTGGATTTGATTCCACTTCCTCACTAGGCTCCCCCTGGCATTCTTCACCAAGCACGATGGAAGCCCCCGTGTGCCTGATAGAGAACAATCCCAATGAGAAGCTACAAGTCAACCTGGAAGCCCTGGAGATCCTTCAGAACATCCAGCAGCCCGTGGTGGTGGTGGCCATTGTGGGACTATACCGGACCGGCAAGTCTTACCTTATGAACAAACTGGCCGGAAAGATGAAAGGTGAGAGTTTGCTGTGTTGTGTGTGTTTCTGAGGAGATGTGGAAGGAGCTAATTCTTTGAACCACACTTGGTCTATTGTTTCCCCTCCTGCTCAGATCTTGTTGGGTTGAAACAAGGGCTTTTTTGGAAAGTGCATCAGGCTTACTTTTGGTTTTAGACACCTGCCCGCTCTTAAGGCAGGAGCAGAGGCCCTGAATGTGGTCCAAAATATGATCTGGCAGAAACAGCCTTATGTTTGGGTTTCTTCTGACACCTTTCCTCTTATTTCTCCTTCTCCTCCTGTCTCAAAAAGTGCACCTGAAGCATATCCAGATGCTCCTGCCACTGGCACACCCTAGTCTGAGTTCTCACCATGACCATGCTCTGCATCAAGTCTGCGGCTGAGTGATTGGGCATCTTTACATACCTGAATGAAGCATGGGCTAGTAGCTCCCTGGGCGATGTGCCTTCCCCCAAAGAACCCTTTTGAGAAACCCTCCCTGACACCCTCATTTTCAGTGCAAAAAAAGTTGAATTGTAATTCCTAGAATCTTTCCTTTAATCTTGCTTTTTTTCACATCTTTTATCCATCTTTTAAATAGGCCATATGCACACACACACACACACACACACACACACACAAACTTGTTAGCAGGCTAAAACGTCTTTTTTAAAAACTGGAAGTACATTTCCAGTCACTTCCCATTTTTTGCAATTTTGGACACTCTGTGTGGCCCCTGAAAATTCCCTGAACCACCAGAGTGAGCTACATCTGATATAGCTTCCTCTTTTAAGCAAAGTGCAAAAGTTTTGACCTGATTTTAGGAGTCAGAAAGATCACCACATAGAGAGTGGGAAGTGAATCCTTTCGTAAACATCCTGAAGCTGATCCTGTATACTTGAACTTTGAACTTATCTTCTGTGTTGCCTAAAAAGGCTTCTCTCTAGGTGCTACGATTCAAGCAAACACCATGGGCATCTGGATGTGGTGTCTTCCTCACCCCAGAATGCCTGACCATACCTTGGTACTGTTGGATACAGAAGGGCTGGGAGATGTGGAGAAGGTAAGCTGTTGAGGCAAGTGGCCGATACCAAGAAGTGTACTCCCTCAAGCCTTTAGTTTCAGGAGGAACCAGATTTATTTGGGGGGCTCCTAAATCTTTGGGGCGTGCCAGGAGGCTTTTGCGAGCCACATCTTGATGAGACAGCAGGAACAAAGAACAGGGATGTGAATCTCACAACCTTTTGCTCCCAGAGCAGAACTGAGGGGGAAAAAAAAGAATACTTGGTTCCTCACAGTGAGATCTCTCAAGCTTTTTTGTTACCTGAAATATTTTATGGGAAATGTTGCTAGATTTCTAAGACTTTTGTGCCCTCTTTTTTTCTTATGAAGAGAATGCCAAGCTCCGCAGAATTAGTACAATTCATACAT